TCCCGTCCCTGCCTCTCTGGCCCGCCAGCCGCGGCTGGCTCAGGGCGGCTCTCCAGGGCTGGGGGCTCCAGGCACCGGGAGGCGGAGAGTTGCGGGAGCAGCGAGCAGGGAGAGCGCACGGACGGTGACCAGCCACTCGCTCCCCGTGTGCTGGGTTCAGAGGGCGGGGGAAGCCTCAAAGCGCAGCCTCCTGGCTCCAGTTAGCTTGGACCCGAGCTCTGGGGCGGTTTCCAGCTGGCATGGTAGGATGAGCTCTCATGCTCCGTGCAGGCCGGTCCCACCTCCGCCATGGCTTCCCCTCCAACCATGTGAGGTCTCAGCAGTCAGCAGCCAGAATCCCTTCCCTGGGACACCTGCCCCTTCTATTCTGTAGGGGCCTGACCTGCAGGGTCCCCTGTGATGCTGGCACCTGGGCGCTGAGCTTCTACTACACAAATCAAGCAGCCCAGCTGCTCCACCTCTGGTCCTGCAGTCAGTCCCACCACCCACCTCCCTCCAAGGAAAGGGCTGTGCCTTTGCCTGTGGGCACAGGCCGGTGAGCTGTAGCTCTGAAGCTGGCCAGGGATCCCGCAAGGGACAGAACAGGGCTTAATTTGCAAGGCAGGTGCTGCTGGGGCTCATGCAGTTTCTTCACACCAGGACCGAGCCCAGAGGCACTGGCGATGCAAACAGCCTGGGACGCGGCCCAGGCCTCCATTATGCACTGCAGTGGGGACCGTCCTGGTCAGGGAGCACCGCCCCCCCCCGCAGCGCATGTTTCCCAAAGCAGCATCTCCTGAAGGAGACAAGGGTGGAGTGACAGCACCTCTGAGTGTGGGGGAGCAGGAACCTGTCACTAAAAATAGGCAGACCTGACAGCAAGGGGCTGGGTAAGTCCAGCCCATGCTTCTTGCCATGGCTCAGGGGTGATGGTATCTTAGTTAACAGGCTCCCTAGGACTCCCTCATGCTGGACTAGCAGCAGGCTAGAAGTCTCTCCAGCTGTGGTGGGAGGGTGTGGAAAGGGAAGGTGTATTGTAGAACCTACCCCCACCCAAACAGTGCTTCATACTGTAATGTGACCCAGATGTGCATGAAGGTACTTGCTTCCTTCTGTAGTTCCATGACCATTCTAGCTCCCTGTAATGAAACCCATGGACCTGTTCCCCACATGCCTGGGTCCTGTGGGGGCAGGCAGAGCCCTATTCAGGCTCCAGGAGTGCTGCTATCTAGTCTGCTTCCCATATGCCTAGGATGAGGAACCTTTTCTTGGAGCAGGGGCCACTGACCTACAGAAAAATCAGTCAGGGGCAGCATGCAAGTGAGGCTGAACCGGGGGAGGGAGGAGGAGCACTGAGCCGTGGAGGCCAGACGCAGGCAAGCTGCCTAGGAGGCCACTGCAGTGGCAGCACCAAGCTCAGTGCTACGTGAGGGTTCCTCGTGCTACGGAGGGGTAACCTTGGCCTGACTTGGGCCTTCTCAAAACAGAGGGCTCCTATTGCTTGTTGGGCTTATGTGGCTGCCTGGCATTACAGTATGTGACTTTCCCACAGAGAAGTCCCTGACACATCTTGCTCTTGGGGTAAATTCTGCTTGGAATAGGCTTGTTTAGTTACGAGTTTGCTTAATTTCCATTAACTGCGCAACTGTCACAAAATAAAAACAAACCTCACACGAGGCGAGTGAGCAAGCAAACTTGTTCTCATGTCAGTCTTACTGGAAACTTCATCTGTATCACCTGGCACAAATGAATTATTTGCTCCTCCAATGAATTTGTTGGTGCTTGTATCAGATCAGTTTTTAATCCATTTGATTAACATTTGGACCTTTAATGCTTCAACAAACACACCATTAATAGAAGTTGTGGCACCAGGTTAGGTTATTTCATCCATCAGGTCTAATAGCCCCCTTCAACAGAAGCTAATGCCTGGGACTTAAAGAAATGGCATGGGAGAGTTGTTGAACCAAACTATAGGTCCCATATATAACAGAAACCACTTCAAGTCAGGTAATGTGCTTCCCCCCAGCACCTATGGCTCAGCAGGCAGAGGGGGAAAAAGAATCATTCAGAAAATGACTTACTGGGATTTGGCTGGTCCCTTTTGGCTGTCAGGCTGTGCCGGGGGCCCTGATGCAAGCGAATGTTTGCTCTTCCCTAGCAGTGACCTGTCCACCGATCAGTGCCTGGGGGTGCCAGTTCCTACACTGCATGAAGCAGCGAGTGCAAAGCCTGGGTCTAGGCCTGCAACACTGAGGAAGCTGTGAAAGTGCAACAGGGGAAGGGGAGGTTGTTCTAGTGGCACATCTGGGAGAGGGTAGCTGGTTGCTGTGCATGGCTGGGGCTAGAGCTACACATGTGGGTAGGGTGGCACATCTGGGGCAGGAGGGGGTGGCTGGGTTACAGTTGCACATCTGGGGCAGAGAGCTGGAGCTAGACCTACATCTCAGGTGTGGGGGGCAGGGACTAGAGCTGCACATCTGGGGCAGGATGGCTGGGGCAAGGATTGCACCTGTGGGGCAGGGGCCTGCACAGCGGGGCGGACGTTGCAGGGCGAGCCCGGATGTTCCGGCGACGCCCCCTGCTCGCGGCTGCCCGCTCGCGGAGCCCGGGGCTGCTGTCCCTTTAAACGGGGCGGGGGGGCTCCCATGGTTGGGGGGCAGGGACTAGAGCTGCACATCTGGGGCAGGATGGCTGGGGCAAGGATTGCACCTGTGGGGCAGGGGCCTGCACAGCGGGGCGGACGTTGCAGGGCGAGCCCGGATGTTCCGGCGACGCCCCCTGCTCGCGGCTGCCCGCTCGCGGAGCCCGGGGCTGCTGTCCCTTTAAACGGGGCGGGGGGGCTCCCATGGTGCCTAGCGGCGGGCGGCTTGGATTTTAAATCGTAGCAGCCAATGGGGAGCGCGCTGGGCGCGGCTAACGCTCCGGCTCGAGGTTTGAAATTGGTACAGTGTCGCGGGGGC